CCCAGCACTTTGGGAGGCTGAGGCGGGGAGATCACTTGAGGTCAGGAGTTTGAGACCAGCCTGGCCAACATGGTGAAACCTCATCTCTACCAAAAATACAAAAATTAGCCGGGCGTGGTGGCACACACTTGTAATCCCAGCTACTCGAGAGGCTGAGGCAAGAGAATCGCTTGAACCCGGGAGGCGGAGGTTACAGTGAGCCAAGATGACACCACACCACTGCACTCCAGCTTGGGAGGCAACAGAGTGAGACTTGGTCTCAAAATAACAAACACACAACAGCAAAAAAGAACACTTGTCACGACAAGACAAAAGAGAGACCACAGAAGAAAGGAAAAAGCCTTATGACTTAATATCTTTACCAACACTTCTTTCCCACTTTTTGAGGAACGGGCCCCTTTTTCACTTTGTACGGAGTCCCGCAAATTCTGTAGTTGGCCTGGCTGTCATACGTTTTTGTGAATGCGCAGGAAAGGATGGTGGCTGGAGGTGGAGCAGTGCAAGAAGAAACAGAGCAATAGGAAAGGGGGAAATTCCGCTTACAACAACAGCATGTGTAATATGATCCTGTTCATGTAAAGTGGGGTATTTTGAAGTACAGACATATATAACACTATATAATGAATATATGTAAACACACAGAAACATGGCATCAAATTCTTTTTTTTTTTTTTTTTTAATTTGAGACACAGTTTCACTCTGTCGCCCAGGCTGGAGTGTGGTGGCGCCATCTCGGCTCACTGCAACCTCCACCTCCTGGGTTCAAGCAATTCTTCTGCCTCAGCCTCCAGAGTAGCTGGGATTACAGGCTCCTGCCACCACACCTGGCTAATTTTTGTATTTTTCTATTAAGAGATGGGGTTTCACCATGTTGGCCAGGCTGGTCTCAAACCCCTGACCTCAAGTGATCCACCTGCCTCGGCTTCCCAAAGTGCTAGGATTACAGGCATGAGCCACCGTGCCCAGCTGACATCAAATTCTTAATCATCTCCAAGCTGTACACTTTTCAGTTGATTTTCACTTTTTATCGTACACATTAAGTTCAAACAGTAGAGAAACAACACATCCATATTATGTATGTGATCAGCCTTTTTTTTTTTTTTTTGAGACAGAGTCTCACTCTGTTGCCCAGGCTGGAGTGTAGTGGTGTAATCTTGGCTCACTGCAACCTCCGTCTCCCAGGATCAAGTGATTCTCCTGCCTCAGCCTCCCGAGTAACTGGCATTACAGATGTGTGCCACCACAACTGACTCATTTTTGTATTTTTTAGTAGAGACGGGGTTTTGCCATGTTGGCCAGGCTGGTCTTGAACTCCTGACCTCAGATGATCCGCCTGCCTTGGCCTCCCAAAGTGCTGGGATTACAGGCGTAAGCCACGGCACCAGGCCATGATCAGCTTTTTTAAAACGCTGCATTTTCATCTGGGGAAAGGGAAGACATGCAGATGGAGTCAGACTTGGGCTCAGCTCTTGGCTCTGCTGTTTCCAGCCTGCAGGATTTAGGCCAAGTTAAGTAACTTCTCTCAGCCTCTGATTCTCCATCTGTAAAATGGGGATACTGACTGGTAACCATATCATCGGGCTGTTGTGAAGGGTCGTGTGCTTATGTAGGGCCTGCTACGGAGATCACTTGGCAGCGAGTCGCCATGCGGGGCTAGGGCTGGGGGGCTCATGCCTGTGCCAGAGGACAGCGCCCCCACAGGCCGTGCAGGAGGCCTCTAGGAAGGGATGCCAGAGGCAGAGGCGGCATTCATGGGCACATGGGCTGGGAGGCGCTTTGGGGACGCAGAGGCTCTGTAGGGTTCTTAGGTGTGAGCGTTAGCGCCGAACTACAGGCTCTGCATGGGTTTGGCCATGAACCCAAATCAGCGCTTATCCTCTGACCCTGCTTTCCCGTTTCCCTGCTGGTCTATCTGACGTGTGTGTAACTGGTCAGCCTTTTGCAGGGCAGCTGCTGATCCACAGAGGACCTGGGAGTGGCTTTCTAGTCAGCACTGGGGCGTTCTGAACAAAAGCACAGCCTGCTCCTGGAGGCCGACGAATAGAATAATGGCCTTCCCGGGAGCACCTGTGCCTCACACACAGACATGTGGAGAGAATGTTCGGGAACATCGGGGTGGAGGGTGGACATTCATAAACAAACATATACATACATGTCTACAGCCCGCTTTTATGCTATTCTGTTTGGCCCGGTCTTTCCTTCGTTTCGGTAAGGTTGGATCTGGGTACTTTTCCCCATAGACTGCTTGTGGTCCTTGCAGAGGGCGCCTTCTGTGTGCCGGGCGATAAATAGCAACAAGTAAGACGGAGTCCTTGCCTCGTGGTGTTCTCAGTCCACCAAGAAAAATTCCGGGGTGTGTTAGAAAACAGGCAGGCAAGAGGTGCGGACAGGACCAGGGGCTTCAGGAAAGGCCCCCACGCAGCCTCCCAAGAGAAGAGCGGGCATTCAAGCGAGGGTGAGAAAAGGCATTTCAGGCAGAGATGGTCACATCAAAGGCCCTGGGTCAAGTGCAATCCTGCCCCACTCAGGAGCATAAGGGGGATCTGTGGGACTGAAGTACAGAGGGCTGGCCATGGCTGGGGAGGCTGCAGTGGCCCGGGAGGAGGGAGCAGGAGGAACAGCTTCTTACCGTGCCAGGTAAAGGAGCCTTGCTAAGTGGTGCAGGGTTTTGCCAAAATAACTGGATCCCTCCTGTGGTCCTTGCTGAATGCAGTTTGGCTGACTCGAACGTGGAGCCTTTACAGGGCTGAGCCACCTCCTGCAGACCCCAGCCAAGCAGACTGAGTGGTGAGGAGTGTAATAAGGTTGCCGCTGCAGGGACTTTGCAGGAGAGTTGAGGCAAACCTTCTCATAGCAAAAATGCAGTACAAAAGTGTGCCATTCCAGACATAAACTGGGTGCTACTGAGTCCTCAAGGAGCACTTTGAAATCCTCATCCTGGCTCTGCCCATAGGCAGGGGACTGGCCTCAGGGTAAACTCCTCTGAGGCATGGGGATGTCTGATTCATTCACTTCTACTTGACAATGTACTGCCTGGTTATGTGGGTATCTGATAAATGAGTGTGTGGGTGGATAGAGGGAGGGAGGGAAGGAGGGATGGACCAATGGACGGATGGACAGATGGATGGATGGATGGATGGATGGATGGATGGATGGATGGATGGATGTACGGATGGATGGATGAATGGATGGATCGATGGATAGATAGATGGATGGACAGACAGACAGGAGAATAAGTGAATGAATGGATGCATAGGTGGATAGGCAGGTGGGTGGATGTGTGGGTAAATACCAGTGTAGATGAATGGAAGAATGTGTAATTATTTTACAAGATTAAAAGATTATTTTGATGGCAGGACACAGCACAGTGATACTCAGAGAAATGAAAGGTAGGACTTTTGTTTCTTACAGCTCCAAATGAGATGCTGTCAGGCTGGGCCGCACAGGATGTGCAGCTGGGGACAGGGGGTCCCAGCAAGCTGGAGCTATAGGTGGCAGCTGTGTGTGACACATGGGGCGGTGTTAAGGAGGTTTCTTTGGCTGCCTATGGATTGGCTGATTTGAATAATTTTGTGAGTTCCAGATGATAGGAGCTGTCCATTATTATTTGGTACTTGGCTCCAAGGCAATCAGGGCAGGTGCCTAGTGGCCCAGAGTGTGAGGACCTGGTAAGAGAAAGGGCCAGAATGTGAACTTAATCAGCTGCTCACTAACTGACTGGCCTCCAGCCAAGACCTCAAAATTGGGTTAAAGTAGACTTTTGAAAAAACTATATGACGGAGATGGACAGAGACGTGTGTAGATGGACAGATGTCTTTTGGAGATTTCTCTGTCAATGATATTTACAGAAGTGTCAACACTGGATTCAGATCCTTGAGAATTTTCAACTCATAGATGCAGAGCCCTACAATATCTAAGTTGGAAGAGACTTCAGAGGGTCTCTAGATGCTCATGCAGGTCTCCATATGTTGTGGATCTCACAGCTCTTCAATATTTTAGTGAAAGCTGTAGATGAGGCTCCACAGGGGATAAAGCACAGACACACGTTTTCAGAGGGCTGGTGGACTCTGGGCAGCCTATCCACAGACCTCTGTCCCCAGCTGGGAAGTCAGGAAACTCCAGATTAAGGAGCCCCGATGTGGTTGAACAGGCACGTGCACAGAGGAGTCAACCACACAGCCAAGCCAGGGAGGCCCTTCACTCAAGGGCCTACAGCCAGTTCACAGCCAAGACAGGGCTAGTGCCCAGGCCACCCATAAACTTATCTGAGACTCTGTTTCCCTGTCTCCATGATGATGGGATCAGGCTGGATCGCTGGTTTATAGGCTTGATATGAATCAAGTCACAGGGAAGGGGAGCGGATGGGCTCGGGGGGCGTCCTCTGGCCCTCCTTTCTCTTCCCCAGATCCACTGGGCCCACTCTTATCTGTTCTCTTCTGAAGGAAAGGTTTTAAGGCTTCAAAACAAAATGTTTTTGAAAGTCCCTGCCCTTTCCAGCTCCTACTGTCTCAGCCCTGGGAGTGTAAAGTGCTACAGATTGTTAGTAAGTCTTTGAGCAAAACCGAGAAAGCCAATCTGAGCATTGACATGAAAGAAACCACCACCATGTATCTCCAAAGAAAGGGCCGCATGTCTCAGGGGAGCGCGAACACCCATTCCCAGGAAACAGGACAGCTTCTGCCACTGTCGCCCTTGGGAGCTGTACAAAGAAATCCCAGGACTCCCCCTGCCCTCCTGGCCACCCTCTGTTTACACCTTCCGCGTAAACGCCCACTGTTTACATCCAAAACTCAGACACAAAACAACCACCTTAGGAAAATAAATAGTGATAAGAAATAAACGTTACGTGAGGCGAATTTATTCACATGGGGCTCCACAGGCCACTTTGTGGTCAGCCGGGAGGGACGCTTTTGCCATACCACAACTCCAGTGGGGAGCCGGGCTACGCAAACGTGGAAATCTTCCAAGAGCCTTGCTGGCCCCAGGGCTCAGAGGGTGGCAGAGCGGAGAGCAAAGGTGACCGCAGCCACCCCGGCCCCACAGGCAGCCTGGCTCGGGCTGGGCAGGAGAGCAGAGCTCGGCTGGGGGCGGAGGGGGAAGTGCCCAGGAGGCTGATGACATCACCACCCAGCCCTTGAAAGATGAGCTGTTCCCGCTGCCACTACAGCTCTGGCCTCTGGGCTCCAAGGAGGGGCGGAGACGGTGGGGACATCAGGCTGCCTCGCAGTACCCAGGGAGTGACTGAAGTGCCCATGCTGCTTGCTCCGGAGAAGGTGGGTGCCGGGCAGGGGCTGGTCCAGCCGCCTCACCTTTGCTGGGAGGACAAGCTGTCCCAGCCAAGGGGGGAAGGAAGGCAGGCAGCGGGGAGAAGTTTCCCTCTGGTCGTGGGGAGTTGGGAAAAGCTCCCTTCCTTCCGGAGGGGAGGTCTGACAGGCAATGGGAAGAAGGGTTCCCAGCAGGAGGAATCGCCCTGTTTGTCTGTTGTAGGTTTCTCTTCTCTGAATCAAGGTGACAGACAGGCTTGTGTGTGTCCAGTGTGTGAGGGATTTCGTGATTGGATTTTCACATACTTTGGGTGGACACCTTGGAGTAAAGCAGTGAGGCGTGGTGCAGCAGGGACGGGTGCTGGGTGGAGGCGCCAGAACCTGGCTTTTCACTCACAGCCATGCCACTCGTTGGCCCTGTGTGACCCTGGACAAGCTACTCAACCTCTCTGAGCCTCAGTTTCTCTGTCTGCAAAGCAGCCTGCTTGCCGGCTTCCTGGGGATGGCAGGGTTAAATCAGAAGCAGACGGGAGGGGTTAGTGAATACTGGCTGATGTGCGTCCAGGAGGCAGGTGGTGGTGACTATCTCAGAAGGGCTTAGCGACCCTCTTCCCACGGTCCTCACTGACCGGGATGGGGGGGCAGGATGGTGCAGGGGTTCCGAGCACTGGCTTTGCATCCAGCCCAGGCTGGAGTTCCAGTTCTGCTCTCAACCTGTGAGTGACGTTTTTGGGCGAGTTATTTTGTCGCCGTCTCCTGAGCTGTAAAGAAGACCTGGTAATTCCTCTTTATGGAAAGATAGAGGTAGGCTTTTGCCTGTGGAGCACCATGGGTGTCATAGGCGCTAAATAAATGGCAGCCGTGATTGGAGTTGCTGAAGAGTAGGTCGCTTCCGCAGCCTGGGTGGAGGTGGACAGCAGGTGTTGCTGTTCCGGGCAGGTCAGAATGTGCCTCACTGAGTCACAGGCCGCCTGTGGCTCCCCAGCCTACAGGAAGTGGGAACTCTGGCACGGGTGTGGGGTGACGGGGGGCTCCCCAGCCAACCCCACCCCTAATTCCATTTCTGAGTGGGAGAAGGGCTTAGGTGGCAGGGGGACTGGTGAGCAACCCCAGAAGACATTGCTAACATCCCCTGCCCGAGGTTCTCTGGAGAAAAACCTCTGCTGTGTCCTTTGAGCCCTGGCAGCAGCAAGCGACATTCCACATTGTGAGCCCCATAAGCTTGGAGGAAGCATTTGCTCTTTCCCCTGCCTGGGGAAAGACAGCCAGGAGTAGGCGTCTTTGGATGAAAAAGAGGAAGCGTGTGTGCTGTCCCCACAGGCAGGAGCCCAGGCCTCATCCCAGCTCTCCCTGCAACTCTGCACTCCAAGCCTCTCACTGCACAGAGGAAACTGAGTCTCAGAGCGGGGACATGACCTCAGCCAGCCCTCCACTCAGTGTCCAGGGAAATCCCTCAACCTCTTTGGGGTTCAGTCTCTTTGGGATTCCCTCCCTTGCAAACAGGAGGAGGTTCCCATGGCTGGGCCTGCACAGTGGGTCTGAGGACTTTGAATGTGGTCGTTGCCTGCCAGTGGGATCCAACATGGAAATATTAGGTTGGTGCAAAAGTCATTGCGGTTCTTGCCATTACAAGTAACGCCAAAAATCGCAATGACTTTTGCACCAGCCTAATAACTGCGCCACGTGGTCTCTGCTAACACAGTGACTGACTCAGTAACAAGTTCGAGGGCTCCAAGGGTAACATTAGGGCAGCCCCCTCACCTGTGCTGCTTGTGGTCAGGGAGGGGCCCGCCTGGGCAGAGTTGGGGGAGCCCTGCAGACTTGCCCGATGTCATAGCCTATTTGAGTTGCTATAAGAAATACTTTAGACTGGGTAATTTATTGAAAAACAGACATTTATTGCTCACAGTGCTGGAGGCTGGGGAGCCCGAGATCAAGATACTGGCAGATTGGGTGTCTGGTGAGGACCTAGTCCTCATAGATGGCATCTTCTATGCATCCTCATCCGGTGGAAGGGTGAACACACTCTCCTAGGCCTCTTTTAAAGAGCACCAGTCCCATTCACGAGGAGGGGGACCTCATGATCTAATGACCCCCCAGAAGCCTCACCTCTTAATATCACCACCTTGGGGATTAAGTCTCAACAGGTGAATTTTGGAGGGACACAGGCATTCAGATCATAGCACCAGGAGACTCTGGTTTTCAGAATGAAAGCAGGGGCCTCGTCTATCCTCTCATGCTGCCTCTTCTGCACTCAAAATGATGCCTAGCCCAACATGGATCAGTGTTTGCTGAAATGCTGAATGGTTAAATGAATACATAAATACTGCTCATATAGCAGGCCATAAAAAAGCACACAGAACCTATCACTAAGTGAACGAAGCCACTCTGAAAAGGCATATGCTGTATAATGTCAACCATATGTGACATTCTGGAAAAAGGCAAAACTATGAAGACAGTAAAAGATAAAAAAATCAATGGTTGCCAGGAATTAGAGGGAGGGAGGAGAGAACTGGAGGAGAAACCCAAAGGACTTTTAGGGCAGTGAAACTTCTGTATGATACTGTAATGGTAGATACATGTCATTATGCATTTGTCCAAACCCACAGAATGTCCATCACCAAGAGCGAACCCTGATGAAAACTATGGACTTTGGGTGATGATGATGTGTCAATGCAGGTTCATCAGTTACAACAAATTGACTGCTCTTGTAGGGGATGTGAGTAACGGGGGAGGCTATGCATGTGTGGGTGCAGGGGATATACGGTAAGTCTCCGTACTTTCTGCTCAATTTTGCTGTGAATCTAAAACTGCTCTTAAAAAAAGAAAAAGGCACACAGCAGGTCTGCATGTTGCTTTGAGGATTCAGAAGGCACTTAGGACAATTACAGTACCTCAGGGTCATGAGGCAAACAATCAGACCTGCCAAGACTTAAGGCCCCAAATGCATCACTTCTGACATCCACTCGGTCCTGGAATCCCCTGCCCCGTGAATATCCATCTTAGTGTGCATGCCTCCAAGAATGGGGAGCTCACTACTTTGCAAGGCAGCCCATTCTGTCTCAGGAGAGTTCTACTATTTAAAAGCTCTTCCTCCAACTGTCCCCCACTGAGCAATGGGCCCACTTTCATTTCCTTGGGGTTTGTACCATTCTAGCCCTATTGCTTCTCTCTGAGCTAAATATCCACAGCTACTGAATCTGCCCTCCATGAAAAGTGTTAAATCCTCAATTCCTCCTCTGAGTTCCTCTGGTTTTCCTGGGGACCCAAGGCTCTGCTTCCCCAAAACACCCACTCCAGGGTTCCTTTCTAGAACAAACCAAAGGTGTGAAGTATTTCTTTGACTCTTTCATCACTGACGGCTCTGGAGGATTCTGGAGGCTAGAAACGTGTACTCCCCTGCATACATTCCAAAAAAGTCATCACAGCATAAAGCAGGGTGGAACAAACACAACTCGGGATTTGAATTCCAACCCTGTCACTTACCTACCAGAAAAGTTTTCTGAGCTTCAGTTTCTTCTCCTGTACAATGGGGATCATCATTCCTGTTTTTGAGGACCACTGGGAGGCTTACCTCTGATTGTGCTGATGTAGTGAAAGCGGGTGTCAGGCACACTGCAGGAGCTCAGGTACCAGACGGACGGTCTACAGAGGCAGGAGTGAGGGTCTGGGACGGTCACAGAGATTGCATTTGCCTTGCAGTAAGGCCACAGCCGCTCGAGCGTGTCCAGAAAAAAGCCCTCTCTGACATGCACACGCTCCTGTGTCCAGGCAGTGAGCCTGTGGGCACTGACAGCAAAAGTCCTTCTCACGCTTCTCTTCAGGGCTCAAACTTTAGATTTACTCCGGCCTGTCCCATCCCATTCACTGCCAACCCCTCTGACCCTCTCTGATCTGTGCCACCGGTGAAGGGCATTGGAGGGGGGCAGGAGGCACAGAGAAGTGGCCCAGCTGAGCGACATCTGGAAATGAGCAGTGCCTGCGGGGACGTCCGCGGGGTGTTGTGACCTGCACAGTGCCAGGCTCCAGCACAGCCCTGTCGCTTCTGTGGTTGCTATCATGGTCATGAGGTTGCTTCTCCTCTTCCCTGCGGGTTTCCTAAGGGGTCACACTCCAGTGGCGGGGTGGTCTGCTGGAGAAAGACTAAATTTTATTGTACATTAGAATCACCTGCAGGCTGGTCTCCTATGCAGGTGCCAGGGCCCTGCTCTGGGGACTGTGATTTGAGGTCTGGGTACTATTCACTGAAATGACAGACTGTGGCAAGTCTCAGTCAATCGAGGTTTACTGAGTTGATAAGCTTCAATTGCCGTTTTTCGAGAGTTTGAGGGTGCACCTGGGAAAAACACAAACCACAGAAAATACGTGTGGCCTATGCTCTCCAAAGACGTTTTCCTGAGGCTTAGTATTGTAAATCAAAGAGAAACTGACTGAGGCAGGTCTCAATTATTTTTGAAGTTTATTTTGCCAAGGTTAAGGACACAACCAGGAAAGAGGGACACAGAATCACAGGAAACATCTCTGGCCCATGATTCTTGCAAAGAAGGGGCTTCACTATTTAAAGGGAAAAGAGCAGGCGGTAGGGGAAAGAGGGAGGAAAAAGGGGGGAAAGGTGGCATAAAGAAGCAAGTAGTAGCACCCCTTTGAGCCTTTTCACTCACTTCACTGAATGCACATTTTTCTTGTGAAAGAAGCAGGTGGAGGGATCATCAATTCGGCATTCACCTGGTGGTCAGTCAATCTGCATTTTTATATAATAATCATAGGACTGGGCACCGTAGCTCATGCCTGTAATCCCAGCAGTTTAGGAGGCCAAGGTGAGTGGATCACCTGAGGTCAGGAGTTCAAGACCAGCCTGTCCAACATGGTGAAACCCTGTCTTTACTAAAAATACAAAAATTAGCCAGGCATGAGAAGCTGAGGCAGGAGAAGCATTTGAACCCAGGAGGCAGAGGTTGCAGGGAGCTGAGATCCCACTGCGGCACTCCAGCCTGGGCGACAGAGCAAGA